TTGCTGGCCCGCGTGCTGGGGCGAGGGCGTGGGTCGCGCCCTGAGTCCTCCCCACCCTGGCCGGGAGCTGCTCCTGGCTCCCCGCCCGCCCTGGGCTGACCCTGCCGGCGGGAACCGCCTGCTACCGCGGGGCCACTCCTGCCGAAACCAAAACACCCAGGAGGAGGGAAGAAAAACACTCCGGGAGGGCTGGTGGGGGAAGGGGGCAGTCGCCGATGTGCCTTCGGGTGGGGGGCCGGGGGGAGGGTCACACCGTCTGCGCACAAACGTCTGGCGGATGCGGGGCTGCCCTGGCTCGGCACCAACCCCCCAGCTGGCTGTGCAGCCTGGGGCGCTCTGAGCCTCAGTTTCTCCATGGGTGGAATGGGGGCGGGGAGAGGGAGCAAGGTGAAGCTGTCGCTAACGTCATCCACGATAATATTCAGGTCGTGGTTTGTGGGCGCCTGGGTGGCTCAGTCGGTAAAGCGTCTGCCTTCCGCTGAGGTCATGATCCCAGGGTCCTGGGTTCAAGCCCGGCATTGGGCTCCTTGCTCCTCGGGGAGTCTGCTTCTCCCTCTCCCTCTGTCTCTGTGCTGTCTCTCTTTCAAATAAATAAATACAAAAAAATCTTAAAAAAAAAAAAAAGCCATGGTTTGCTCAAGAGCACACAGAGATTTAATGCTCCACTCCGGAGCTGCTCTGGTCCAGGGGTCAGGGGGGCTGATCCTGAGCCCCCAGCTTCCCATGGATTTGCAGGGCAGGGGAGGGCCTGTGTCTCCCTGACTGCATCCCCCCTCCATCCTTCACGTTTCTCTCCCTTTCTTTCCCGCCTCATCTCTCTCACTCCCTGTCTCTCCCTCAAGCCTGCCTGAGGATCTTGCAGACTACCCCTGAGCCAGCGGGGGGGGGGGGGGGGGGGGGGGGCGGGGGGTGTCAGTCTGGGCGCCTCCTGAAAGCCCAGATCCTAATGTCTCTGCACCTGTCCCCACTGTGGCCTCAGGGGTGGCTCCAGGAAGCCTGGGGCCCCCACTTGCTGTCCAGAAGACCCAAACTGTGTAAGAATCCCTCTCAAACCTCAGTAACCCAGCAGCTCAACATCCACAGTCTCACAACACAGCCACACACATGCACACCTCCCCGCCACCACGTTTTTAGATGGGGAAACTGAGGCCTGTATCACAAAGAGTCTCATCCAGAGCTTCCAGCCCCAGGGGCATCAATAGTCATTCTGGTCCAGCCACCAGGCTCCGTGGCTTCAGACTGCGCTCCAGTCTGCTGTCCCCTGGGCCTGCCCCATAAATAGTTACTGCAAACGCTTCCACCCGGGGAAGGCTGGGCAGCGACACTCTCACCTCCCCGAGCTGGTTTCCCAGTGGCTGTGGTCTGGCGGGTGGCCCAAGTCATGTCCCAGCGGCATTGGAGGCTGCCCGGTGCCAGCCAGGAGTGGGGCTCGAGGCAGGGTCTAAGGGGGAGCCTCTGACCCACGAAGCGCCTCATTGGCCCCACTGCCTGCCTTTCATCCTAACTGTGGGGGTGGTGGCGCAGGAAGGGGGTCTCAGGCTGAGGGTCCCTTCTTCAGGAAACCCCCAGACCCCTGGGGACTCCCAGCTCTGGGTACCTCCTTCTGGCCTGGACTCTATGGAACTAGGAGAATTTAGGCCCGAACCCTCCCAACCTGGGACCTTGGACTTCTCCCCGCACAAGGCAGGAACCTGAAGGTGGCTAAGAATGAATGAACGAAAGAGCGAACAATCCTACAACCACAGACATGGAAGGCCATACAGATCGAAACCTGAACTCCTAGCACACCTGGGGGGCTCCCACCCCAGCCCCCATCTGAATGGGGGTACTAAATAATACATTCTAGGGTGGGACATTTGATGCTGCTGCCCCGCCCCCCAACCCCCAGGAATCCCAACAATAGGGTCTGCAGCCTGATGTCCTGGGTTCAATTCCCCCCTCTGCCACTCATCAACCAGCATGACTGCTCTGTCTCTCTGGGCCTCAGTTTCCCCTTCTGTAAAACAGAGATTGTGCCCTGGTCTCAGAGTCGCTGAGGGGAGTAAATGAACCTGTGTGAAGCTGGGTTAGGCCTATTGTCAACCATAAGTGGTGAGCGTCTTCCCTCTGACAAGATTGAAATTATAGAGAAAATCAGAGATGGAGCTATGGTGTTTGTATCAGGAGGAGGCTGACTGGCCTGGTGAGTCAGAGGAGGCCCCGAATCTCCCTCCCAGACCCTGGCCACCTCTTCACTTCTTGCTGTCGCTTTCAGTCTCTCTTTTACCTAGATCCCTCTACCCCCAGATCCTCAGTTTACCTCCCTGTGATGTGGGATCAAACAGACATCCTTGACTCTCTTCTCCATTCTCCAGCAAAACTGCTCCTGAATCTGACCCATTCTCCTACTTGGTCCAGCCCCGGTATCTATTCCTGGGACCAGCACAGGCACTGCCTCCCCGGTCTCCTTGCTTCTGCTCTCAGCCCCCATAGACTCTCCCCTTTGTGGTGGCCGAGTCAGACTCGTCCTTCCTCTCTCCAGAACCCTCTATGGCTCCCATCTTCCTTAGGGTAAAAGCTGAAGTCCGCCTTGTAGCCACAGGACCCTGCTGGTCTTGCTGTTTCCCATCTCCCAGCCCCATCCCAGGATGTTGCCAGAGGCTCTTGGTCTCTTTGCAAGAAAGAATTCAAGGAGAGGGGCACGTGGGTGGCTCAGTCGTGGAGCGTCTGCCTTCGGCTCAGGTCATGATCCCAGAGTCCTGGGATCGAGCCCCACATCAGGCTCCCTGCTCGGCGGGAAGCCTGCTTCTCCCTCTCCCACTCCCCCTCCTCGTGTTCCTTCTCTCGCTTTGTCTCTCTCTGTCAAATAAATAAAATCTTAAAAAAAAAAAAAGAATTCAAGGAGAGACCAGACATTAACGGTGGAGTGGTGCGAGAAGGAACATACAATTAAAGTGAAATTACACTCTCTGAGATGTGAGAGCAAGCGAGCTCAAGGGAGAGCTCTTGGGCCTGGGGTTTGGTCTCTATCCTTTGTTGACAGTTGTTAACTAAGGGGTGGAATATTTATTTCTTGGGGAGGAGAGTTTTTGGGGAGGAGGGTTTTGCGCTTTTTTCTTTTTCTTTGTCTTGGGTCCGTCTAGTTCGATCCGGCTTTTTGTGGCTTTGTTTTGGAGAGCTGCCAGGACAGACCTCTGACTTTCCAGATAGCTGACCATGACTCACACTTTGCTGGCCTCCAGGCATCCTGTTAAAGCCTAACTAGCTGCCTACTCTAACACAACCCTTACTCCACTTTGTCCACACTGACCTCCTGGAAACTCTTCCACATCCGGCACACTCCTGCCCCAGGGCCTTTGCACAGGCTGTGCCTCTGCCTGGGAGAGTCTTCCCCAAGACACCCACATGTCTCCAGGACCTCCTTCTAGTCAGGTCTCAGCTCTGATGTCCGCCCACATGGCCCTTCTTTTTCTCTTGCCATCAATAGTCTGTTTAGTTCACAGCCATGTCAAACCAATGCGCTTAATCATTGTGCTCACAATCACATTTGTAACAAGAGTCATTTACCAGGCGCTTACTGTGTGCCAGGCCCTGGGCCGGGGGTATGGGGCCATAGCTGAGGACAACTGAGACATATCCCTGCCCTAGTGGGACGTATGGCCTGGGGGCAGGGAGGGAGATGGACAGAATGAATAAAATAGGACATGTGGCCAGATGCAGCAGAGAGAGGGTCTTTTCCTCCATCAGACCTCCTGGAAGAAGTGGGTGGCATTGAGGCCTGAGGCCCGAGCTCCGAGATGAGAATGAGCTTGTTTCTTTGTGAGGAGGAGGTGTAGGGAGGTGATGTGGGGAGGACAGCAAGCCTGGACTCCTGGGGCCTGGGGGGGGGGCGGCCACTGGGAGGGGGTTGCTCTTCACGTTCAGAGCAACTAGCACCCTGGGACGTCTCAAGGCAGGTGATAGGATTTGATTCATGTCTCCCAAGGGAAAGAGCAGCTGTGTGGGTCTCACCAGTTCATAGATGGGGAAACTGAGGGTCAGGGAGGTGAATCACTTACCCAGCATCTCCGAATCCAGTATCTCCAACCAGGAGCCTCCAAATCCCTCCCTTCCCCCCACCCAGTGCCGCCCAGTTGCAGGCGGGTAAACTGAGGCACAAAGGTGCCGTCACTTCCTAAGGTCCCCGGGAACACAGTCAGCCCTCCTCCACTCGCCTTGCCCTCCCCGATGCAGCCTCACTGGGGGACTTTCTCACAAGGAGGAAATAGCCGCTGGCTTCACAAGTGGGTGGCCAAAGCCTCAGTCCCAGTTTCGGTTTGCAGATAGCGTCTGGCTCCAACCGCCTGCCTGCCTGCCTGCCCACCGCAGCCACAGCCCGGGGAGGCTTGCGGCGCCACCGTCTGCCGGCGAGATGGCTCAACAAGCCGGCAGCTCTGGGGACGCCGCGCAACCCGGGGCGGAGCCGGGAGGGGAGGTCAGGGGTCTGCTGCCCACGTGGGCGGTGGAGCCAGGGGCCCGGGAGAGCGGGGAGGGCCTCGAGCCCTCCTCCCCACTGAGCTTGGATCACTCATTCAATCAACAGGCGACAATTACTTCATGCTTTGCTGAATTAGCACATTTTATTCTCCCAGGGAGCGTGTGTTAAGTGCTTACTCTTTGGCAGGCTGTGTCCCAGGTGCTGGTTCTTTTATCACCCCCCCACAGCCCTGTAGAAGGCAATGTGTGAGATTCCTGGGGCTGCTGGAACAAATGCCCATGTACCCTGCCTGGGTTTAAACCAACTTATTCTCACACAGTCTGGGTGGGGGTTGGGGAGGGCGGCGGTCTGGAATCAAAAGAGGTCGCCAGGTGCGTTGCTTCTGGGGGCTCAGACGGAAAGCCCATCCCAGGCCTCTCTCCCGGCTTCTGGTGGCTTCCAGCAGCCCGTGGGGTTCCTTGGCTTGTGGCTGCATCACCCCGATCTCTGCCTCCATGTCCACATGGGCTTTGTCTCTCTCTTTGTCTTCTCTGTCTTTTATAAGGATACCTGTCATTGCATTTAAGGAACCTGGAGTCCAGGATGATCTTGTCTCCAGATCTATAACTCATGACATCTGCAGGGACCCTTGTAAAAACGGGACCAAGTAAATTTGAAGATCTAATTGGACTTATCAAGCCATGCATGGATGGGGCAGCATCACACCTTGCAAGTAGAGGGGAGCTCTGAGGAGTTGTACAAAATGGATGGTTTTTACCGGAAGGAGGATGGGGTAAGACAGTTATCAGCAAAAGAAAAGAAAGGGTTATTCCAGGCAGGGCCACCTTCCCTTAGGGAGAAGAGCAGGGGGACTGGTTAGGTGGATTATCTCTTCTTCCTTTGGGGGGTGGGATGGAGAGGGCCCACATGTCAGACAGCTCACTGGTGCTGATCAGAAAATTCCCGGCTGACTGGTTAAGACTTACATCCTGGGGGAGGTTGAAACTGCAATTAGGTTAGGTATTAAGCCCCTTTGTGGTGACTTGGCCGAGGTGAAACCATTTTGGGCCTGTGGTTTTCTTTTTAACACTCTTTAAGGTCATGTTCCAAGGTTCTGGGTAGACATTGGGGGCCACAATCTAACATTCTCCAGGCAGGTATTATCAGTGCTACTTTAGGGGAAACTGAGGCACAGAGCGATCAGGTTGCTGATCTGAAGGGCTAGGATTTAAACCCTGGCTGTCGGGAGACTGAATCTATTCGCTTCACTGCCAAGTCCTTGCCAGAAGCTGGGGACACAGAGGCAAACAAGAATTGGCAGCATCAGGGACATGACCTGTGAACCTCAGGCTGATGGATGTTCAGTGTGTTAGGGTGTGATCTTAAAATGAAGGGTCCCCCGAAGTGGGCTGCATGGTGTCCTCCAAAAGACATATCCACCCAGAACCCTGTGAATGTGACCTTATTTGGAAATAGGGTCTCTGCAGATTTCATTAAGATAAGGATCTCGAGATATGATCATCCTGGATTAGGGTGGACCATAAATCCAATGATGTGTCCTTATAAGATAAGAGAAAGGTGGGGGAAGATCTGAGACCAGAGAAGGCCAGGTAAAATGAAAGCAGAGACTGGGCCCAAAGACTGAGTTTTTGGTATGAAGTGATGTAAGGACCCAAGTGAATTGTTTTCAACATGGACTCTCACTTCAGAGATTCTTTTATAGAATAGTCTCCCTTCCCCACTGCTGGGATAGATCTTCTCCATCTTGCAGCAAATTCCTGACCTGCACAGAGTGTCTGTGGGCATTTAATTCCAGTCCATTGGTCAACCTGTCTCTCCCTGTGCCAATATCCCTCTGACTTAATTGCAAGCTTTGTCATGGGTTCCCATATCTGGTAGGACAGGTAACACCGCCTGTTCTGTGTAAGTGTTCTGACTATTTGTAATTGTCAGCTCTTCCAGGTAAATGTTTGAATCATTTTATCAAGTTCCCAAGGGAAAACCCCTGCTGTGACTTTGATTGGGATGGCGTTAAAACTTCAGATGGGGGAAAAAAACCCAAACCTTCAGATGGGGAGAATCAGCATCCTTTGAGCCTTAGCCTCCCCATCCATGAATATGGTACATCCACCATCCCTCTTGCTTCCTTGGGATCTCTCTCTCTCTCTCTCTTTTTTAAGAATTTTATTTATTTATTTGAAAGAGAGAAAGAGAGAGAGAATGAGCAGGGGGAGGGGCAGAGGGAGAAGCAGACCGCCCACTGAGCAGGGAGCCTGACTCGGGCTCGATCCCAGGACCCTGGGATCATGACCTGAGCCGAAGGCAGATGCTTAACCAACTGAGCCACCCAGGCACTCTCCTTGGGATCTCTTAAGACAGCCATTTCTGTTTCCCTGAAGGGTTGAGAACACCATTTATTTCATTTATTTCTCTTTCCCATGTAGGGAGTCCTCCAACTGACCTTCTGTTTCGCCCGGTTATCGCTTCCCCCACTACATTCCTGATATCACTGAGTTGCTTTGTTTGTCTGTTTTTGATTGGACCTGTTTTCACATGGCGAGCATCTTCCCTTGTCGATTTGGGGGGTGCATATCAAGTTCATTTTAAGCTCCTGGCCTATCGGTCCTCCTGTTCCCACTCTTGGTGGAGGCCATGGTTCAGAGACTTGTCCTGGTGAAATGATGGGTTTCTCCAGATCTGGTCATTTGGATTCCAGCCCATTTCCTCAGGGACATCAATGATAAGGCCAGCCCCAGGCCCCCAGTCTCAGGGAATGAGATGAGAGCCCAGGTCCCCTAAAACTCAGGCCATTACTTCTCACTCCTCCTCATTCCCCCTGTCCAGCCTTCCCCTGCCCAGCCTTTCCCAAGAAGGCAGCTCATAGGGGGGTGGCCACTCTGTATATTGCAAGTGACACCCCAGGGTAAGGAAAGAGGCATCACTGCCCGGGTCATTCCAGCCTCGCTCCCAGCAGGTGTGGGGGTGTGCACCACCTCTTCCCGAAATGGCAGGGAGATGCCAGGAGCAGAATTCCGAGCCGCCTCCTTGAGGCTGCCTGGCGCCTCTGTCTCAGGCCTGGGGCATTCTCAGAGTTTTCTCGGCATCCCCCACTCTGGCGCCTCTGGGCTGGTCTCCAGGAAGAGCTGAGATTTCCCTCCATCCTGGACATTAGGCCTGGGATCAGACCCAGGAGCCCAGAGATCATTTTAAAATGCTTTGTGTTATGGAAAATTTCGAACATGCCCTGGAGTCAAGAACGCACAGTGACCCCATGGGCTGTCCTGAGACTCACAGTGATCCAGGAGGCACTGACCCCATTTCCATGACACTCCTTCCCCCTCGACCTTATTAGGGTACTGCTAATCCCAGGGTCACACTCCTCACCCAAGATCTGAGATGCTTCTCACAGGACAAGCCCAGCTCCAAAATCACAATCACCCTTGAAACCCTCTCTCTCTCCCTGTCTCTCCTTGTATCTCTGTCTCTCCCTGTCTCTCTTTATCTCTCTTTCCCCCATCTCTCTGTCCTCTCTCCCTGTCTGTCTCATTTGTCTCCCACTATCTGTCTGTCTCTCTCCCAGGTGGATTGGGTGCCATGTCTCACCTCCCCCAACTCCTGCATCTACCCCTGGGCCTCCAGTCTGAGTGGGAAGAGCCACACTGTTGAACCTCCAGTCAATGGTTGACAGGCTGGACTTCTGAATGAGGCCAGAGTTGTACACGCTGGGCCCAACTCAGGGCCTGGCTGCCTTGCCCCGCCCATTAACCCCCATCCTGAGAGCCACACTGCTGAGTCCCCACAGCTACCCCCACCAAAGCTTCCCTCAAAGGGCCATGAGCTCCTCCATTGGTCACCTGAGTCCAACCTCCTGATGACCCGGGTACTCCGGGGCCCCAGGACAACGGCCTGGGCTCCTCAACACCCCCAAGATTGTTCTAGAATAGAAGCAGCACCACGAGTGGACCTTGTCAAGGGGCAGCTGTGCATTGGGCATGACCGTGCCATGCAAGCAAGCCTGCCTTGTAGATGAACAGCTCAAGCGTGTGGACATGGTGCAATGTGCGATCTCTCCATCTGTGGATTGCCATCAGCAGAAAGCAAATACATACAGCAGAGAGGATAAAAGATACGAAATCCAACCCAGGATTTACTTATCCCTCCTTGATAGCACCTACTGTACCACCCCCAACCCACCCGGTCCCCATGTGGCCAGGGGGTCATGACCTCGTTGTACAGCTGGGGAAACAGAGGCAGTGTGGCTTTGACAGCTGTAATATCTCTGTTCCTAAATTGTCTGCTTTCATGAACTCTTTTCTGTGTTTACGTAACAGTGTGGTCGTGTGTATTGCACAAAGGCTTTGTACGTAGCGCGTTAATATTTACATGATTGAAAATACAGATATGTTTTATTTTGAAGTGAGAAAAAGAACATGAACAGGCACACCTGGACAGCTAGACTATAGTAAGAGCATTTTTCATCCTTCCGTAGCTATGACCAATCACACAAGTTCCTGGAACAGAAGACTTTGTATCAAAGCATTTGGATTTTGTTATGATGTTGCCTTTTCCCGATAGACTTAAAATAAAATATCATATAACTATTTTAAAGGCCAGCTTTGTTAGGGCGTAACTCACATACAATAGAGTACAGCTGGATGAGTTTTGACAAAGGCATACAATCCTGAAACTATCAATCTGGATAGATTTCCATTACCCAGAAAGCCCCCTTGCAGCTGATCCCCTCCTCCGGGTATACAATAAGTAATAAATACGGGATGAACACATTCGCTTTACCAACTAAAAACAGTGAGTTATAGATTCAACTGGTAGGGAGATGGAGATGCCTCATGCCACGGTCCCCTGGGCTGGGGTGAAGGTCTGCCTATGGATATTGGCAATTGGCCAAAGTCCCATTTTATAGCCAGTACTACTGAGGCTGGAGACAAATGGCCCAGAGGGTCCAGTGGCCCCGATTCCGGCCCCGGGCCCTGGGCCTCCATCTTCTCACCTCAAACGTGAGGATAAAAAGGAAGAGTGGGGGGCGCCTGGGTGGCTCAGTCGTTAAGCGTCTGCCTTTGGCTCAGGTCATGATCCCAGGGTCCTGGGATCGAGCCCC